TAGGTTGTAAACAATATATTCACAAGGTTTGACATTCTTGAGAGTATTCTTATTTTGGGATAAGGCTTTCTTTTTTATCAGCTAAGTATAATATGGGACATAGATTTATAATGTAAGTTGCAATAAATAAAATCGAAGAGGTGATGCAGCAGACAGAACTCCAAATCTAATTCAAACAGAGTACTCATCAGAAAAGAAAGCCAAAATACATTAAATTACTACCATCATTTGTTACTTTGCCGCTTTCGTCTTCCAATGATACCCATGTATTTAACCCACATATCCCATTAAATTGTGAAACTAAGAAATGTGGGAAGAATTGAGAAAATGTCCGAAAAGGGGGAAAACGATGAAGAAAAAAGAAAACAAAATTAATCCAAAAAATATATACCTATTGGTTGAAAACATCGGCAGCAAGAACACAAGCAGTCAAACACCCTTGAAACTTGAGAGCAAGAACAAAAGCTTGTTAATAGTACTTGAAAGCATCTTTAGCGTGTGAAAGACATAACTTTCAACCAGATGAACCAAATCACGAAGAGTTTTGCCTGCTACAAGAAAAAATAAAATAAGCAGATAGTCCATATAAAATGACTCAGACATAACATCAAACACTCTGATGCACAATCCATTTTAAAATTTCAATGCATGTGTAGATCAAGTAAAATTACTTAATGTACTGAATTCTAGCAAGTAATTATATTCAAAACATTAGAAAGTAACAAATATAAAATCTATCAAATTAGTACAAATTATAATAAAGCAAGATCAGAAAAATCCAATTGATTCTTACCAAAGAATTGCCTGAATCTCAAAATTTTTGTAGTTTGTAATTTGCAGAGAGCATTAATAAACAAAGAAGACAGAAGATGTAAGTGAAAGCAGGAAAGAGACTGAAGAAAGAGACTTGGAAACAAAAGTTGAAAAGGTAGGCAAAATGTCCAAAAAGAAACAAAACATTGTAATTTAAGTGCAATACACATGTCTGTGTGAGAAGGCAAAAGCTAAAAAAAAGTTAAATTGTAGATAGTACATCTCTTGTAACATTTGGTACTACTATCTGCTGCCGTGTTTGTCCAACCCAAGTCTCATTTCTAAATAAGCTAGATCGGTGATGGCCCATGCTAAGCACGGGCCCAACATTCTTGAATTTTGATCCAACAATTAACTACATTATTGATTTCTCACATTATTATAACAACATTACTAATAAAAATGTTAACAATTGTCATCACTAAGTTCAAACAACAGGAAAAAAGAAGTGAACATAACTATTCTGAGATACACAACACACACACACAGGCATAACAATGCATCATTTGCTT